CCAAACTTCATCTCTCATAGTTTGGACATATTGTCAGGAGGGACCAGTCGCTGGAGAAGGATATCATGTTTGGTAAGGTGATGGGTCAGAGAAAAAGAGGAAGGCCCCCAGGGAGATGGATTGACAAAGTGGCAGCATCGGTGGACTCAAGCATGGCAATGATAGCGAGGCTGGCCCAAGACAGGGCAGTGTTTTGTTCTGTTGTACACAGGATTGCTACGAATCAGTACCGACTCGATGGCACCTAACAAGACCACTAATTTTAAGTTTATCGTTTGTATGGCCTGTGAATGATGTTATAAATTTTGGCAGAACAAAGGTTCCAAGCCCATGCTATAGGGTTCAAAGACTGTAAATCTTTACAGAAGCAGACATCCTCATCAATCTTCTACATAGCAGGTGGTGAGTTTGAACCACTGACCTTTCAGTTAGCAGCCTAAAACATAACCAAAAAACCACTGACAAAGTTACAGAGAAACTGTATATTAAATAACAAACCTATGGTTGTATTTTCTTTAAGAACTAATGGTCTTGAACAAATATAGTTAAGCACAAAAGTTTTTATTTTGAAAAAAATAAAGAGAAACAAGGCAATACACAGGAAACAAATGTAAATGTCAGATGAAATACACAGACACATAAAACCTGCCTAGCAACACAGGAGCTCTGGCAGCACAGTGGTTACGAATTGGGCTGAGAACCTCACGGTCAGCAGTTCGAAACTACCAGCTGCTCCGCGGGACAAAGATGAGGTTTTCTGTTCCTGTAAAGATTTACAGCCTTGGAAATCCAGTACAGGGTCGCTATGAGTCGGAACCCACTCCACAGCACATAACAACAACAAGCAACATATGCAATTAAGCATTATTAAATTATTTTAAATTACAAGTGTAAACATTCTTGAAAAACCGAATGCCATAAAAAGAATGGTGGTGATTGGTGGTGGTATGCCCTGGAATCGGTTCCAACTCATGGCTATGCTGTATGTTGCTGTTTTTAAGTGCTGTTGAGCCTATTACAACCCATAGCGACCCTGTATAGGGTTTCCA